TCAATATAATTCTTCAAGGCATAGCACCTATCGGTTTCATGGCCATGGTCTTTGTGGTATTTGTATCACCGATCTCTTCGTGTTGCATCGGGTGGTCTAATCATCTTAGCTGGCCACTTAAAAAAGGGTACATGCTGGACTTTGGGGAGTATCTTGCTAATCAGCTAAGTCAACTCAATATACTTCTTCTTAGACCGCTTGGGGTGTTTGCTTTCCACTTGATATTGCTCGCCCGATCAACATGAATGCTGGTCCCTCAATCGGCGTGGATCTTGGCGACTTTCTCGTTTTAGCCTTTGTGGCTTGGGGCTCCTTTTGGGCGGGGCTACGCTTATCGGCTGTATCGGGGTAGGTGCCGCCGTTTCCATGACTTTCTGGCCCGCTTTCACACGGAGGGCATCATTCTCCACCTTGCAGTACTCCTCAACCTTTTTCATTAAGGCCCACACGGATTTAGGAGGCCGCCTTGTCAACGAGCTCCGGAGCGGATTATCAGGGTGCAAGCCCATTTTGAAGGCAGTGATGGCCATGGAGTCATTGCAAGCGTCGTCGACCAAGTTAAAACATTCCCAGTGCTCCGCCGAATATCACGGAGGGTTTCTTTTGGCTTGATTTGCATCGCCTAGAGCGAGTCGACTTACTTAGGCTGAACCTCATTGGTGATAAATCTTGCGCGAAAGGATTTTTGGAGTTGATGAAAACCCTTCACTGAAGCTGGTTCGAGTTTATAATACCATCGAACTGCTAACGGGCCCAAGCTGCTTAGAAATATGCGGCACATCAGCTCCTCATCATCAGTGTGCAATGTTATTGCCTGGTTATAATGGCGAATATGATCCATAGGATCCGATTTTCTATCATACAGCGTAAACATCGATGCCTTGAATTTTTTAGGCAAGACTGCCCTTGCGATTCATTGCACGAAAAGATTATGTCTATCTTCCCTATCTAAACCATCACCTTTTCCTCGCCTGTGTCGTGCATATGGACTCCCCTTCGATGAGCTAGACACGACGTCATGGATTATCCTTCCTCTGTTCTGGCAACTGACTCCGCTCATGATGCGATGATGTCTACTACGATTTGGCTAACTCCAAAGCTAGCTAGCTCTTTATGCAAATGTCTGTTGTCCGTCACCATCTCTTCCAGTCGTTGTTCATTCCGTTTTGCTTAGTCCATTTCGTTTGCATGGTTTCCTGCAGAGAGGTTGAAGGTGAGGTTTGATCCACTGGGTCGAAGTTTAAGGCCATTCGTGCAGTGATATTCTCCGTTCCAAGCATGTTTCTTGGAGTAACATCATCCTTTGGTGTACCATTGTTAGCAATGAGCGAAGGATCATCTGTTACGCCTACCATGAACGCACTTGAGTATTACCACAAATGGCACCAATTGTGGTGCAGTGAGTTTAGGAATACTTTCTCTCGTTCATGCAGACCTTATTATCTTTTTCTCTCTCCTCTCTTATTAACTATCACTCCTGCTTTTATAGTGTTTCCAAGGGCCTTCTAGGGGGGCCATTTTATACTACTAGGCCTTACGTTTGCTCTTGGGCCCTGATGCAGTCCACGGGTTATATGGCCCCAACGGCCTCCTAACTTGTCTTACTCGGCGATAGCTCTTATTTGATTTGGCATGGGCCGATTTGAGTTCGGCTATTTGCAACGTTCACGGGTCCGTTCTATGGCCGATTGGTGCACGCCCCCCTTGCCGCTTTTTTGGTCAGCCCGAAGGCTTCCCATATCCTCATTTACTCGGCCCTTATTTACTCAACCCCCACAATTGTGGAAGTAATTTGACAAAAATAAATATTTTTCCACTGCTACCCTGTATCACTACCTCTACTATAGAACGTTTGGATCCTGTGGAGTAGTGGATCCTATAATATTCCTTGAAATAGACCAAAATAACATCGTTTTGGTTAAGGATGAAAAAAAAAAAACAACAGAAGTATTCTAGCATTTCTTTGGTGCCAGAGCCATCTTCGATTGGTTCATCCCCTCTTTTTCTCCTCCTGCTATCCACTGCCCTCTTTCTTTCCTTCTCCTCCTCCTCCTCCTCCTTATTCTCTTCTTCTTCCACTCCAAAACTCTAGATCTAGGGTTTACTGAGTGCAGCATTGCCATGATCCCCTTTCCTAGTTCCAGTTGTAGAGACCTTGATTTTTGTAATCACTTTTGAAGCCCTAATTTTCAGATTTACTTCAATGAAGACCCTGAGTTATCAAGTAGTTGCATTTTAAACCCTAGATTGAGAAAAACTTCATAAAATAATCATATTAAACCCTAATTAATCTGGTATCTTTGTTATCACTTTTAAACCCTATGGTGTTATTTTATTACTTAAAAACCCTAACCTCCAGTTAATGTTAATTCGCTTGGTTTTTTGCTTTTCTTTGCAATATGATCTATCGGTACTCTTTTAATCATTTTCTCATTAAAATATATCAAACATAATTTATTACTTCTCCTAAATTGGAATTTGGCCCTTTTTATTTTTATTCCATTTTCAACCCTAATTATGTGAAATAATATAATAAGTGTATTTTTCCCCCCTATTTTTGTATTATTAATTGTACTAGATGTATCTTATATATGTGTATGTGTATATAGTTTATTTTTGTACCAAAGCCAAGGCATGGCCATTGATAGGGCTAATGTATTGATGGAAGTTTGATTAAGCTTGATTGAAAAAAAATGATGAAAACGTAAGGTATGGCCAAGGCATGGCCATGCCCTAAATTATGGGGTTCTTGTCACTTTTGCCTCACAGACTACAAGAAAATTTGCCTATAATGCGCTTGTATCAAGACATTTTAAAAAATGCGGTGTTTCAAGGCGTGATGCCTATTGATGGTCTCAATGAGCCAAGTCTGTTTAACTTAACAGAAACTTAACCCCATATCTATTCAAACCAGTACAGTTACCAAAAATAACACAATCTCACTCTTTCTCACACATTGCTCTTCTCTCTCGCGATTAAAATTGATCTCTCTTACTCTAGCTATTCTTCATCGAACTCAATCTCGATCTCTTTCGCATGTCGCATATCTAAAATCGAACAAGAAAGTCAATCTAATTTAATCAAAATTCAAACTCGATATGATATGATCTCTCTCGTATTTTGTTAGATCTACTCTTACTCTAGTTGTTCTTTAACAAATTTGATCTCTCTCGTAAATCGAAGATCCAAAATCGAACAAGAAAGTCGATCTAATCTTATAGAAATCTACACTAGATCTGATCTAATCTCTCTCATATTTTGTTAAATCTACTAATATACAAGGTTTAAAGCAAGCCATTTTTATTTTGTTTTTCATTAACAAGTGTTAATCGGTGTTTGAGTTTGAACTATCAGATATACTTTCTCGTTGTCAAATTAGATCTGTTGATGAACTATCTACTTTTCCATTCTCGATCATATTGATCTCGATCTCTCTTACTCTTCATCTCAAGTACATTTTTTCATATCAATTAGTTCCTCCTCACAAGTGATTAATCTCTCTTACTTCTATTTGGAATTTAGGCGTGGTGGAATTTAATATGTGATACAAGTGATGAGACACTAATGGATTTAAAGTTAATTTTGATAGTTTTTGTATAATTAAATTTTTTGATTTACATAGTATCAATGCCTTCTAAATCACAACAACAAAAAATATGAAAATAGTTTATTTTCATCAATTTAGTTAAAATAGTTTATATGCAATTATTTTTTTCATTTACTTTTTTTGAAAATTGATACATTTTTTCCCTATGCTTAAATTCCTTGTTTAGTCACTCTGTTTGATACGCGCTATAATACTATTTATTCTCTAAAGAAAATAGATAGTGCATATGGCTTCAAATCTAATATTGTGAATGTTTGTTTAATTTTGTTATATTATTAGTGATTTTCATTTGTTTGATTATATATATATATATATATAAATATGTGTGAATCTGCTTTCTTATTGGATATCATTAGTGTAAATTGTCTTTTTTTCTTCTTCTTTTGTAGATCGATGTGGTACTTTAATTGGTTCTAGTAAGGATGAGGTACTCATTTTTGCTGATTAATATGCTTTGGGTTTTAATTCCAGGTTGTTTCCTTATTCATTGTGTGGAAAACATTGAATGTGCAGGCTGATTTCTAGTCTCTCTTATTCATTCTCTTCTCCATTCTTTATGATTTTAGTGCAATAAACAATGCAAATATATATTTTTCTTTCATTATATTCTGTATGAGAACTTCATTATAATCTTGGTTGGAGATTTTTTGTATGCACATGAAAGGTGATGCCTCTATGAATCTTGATTTGTTTGTGAGGATTCACTGATACCACACAATTGTGATTTGGTTATTGCAATGCCTAGATCTTGGATGAACCTTATAGGTACCCTTGTTTCTCTTATTGATTACATTGGAGGTATCCTTGTTTCTTTTATCTTTTCTAACATGGATGAACCTTTATGGCCTAATAGCTTATATATAGCGATCCCGGGTTTTACCCTTGTTGAATAGTGATCCGGACATGTGTCCGTGGATGTTAGTTGTGGTTTATTATCTTGTTTGCATCCTCTTTACTTCATATTTGAGTTATAGGATGTGTTGGGCGGATTTGTTTCAGGTTGGTTGAGTTTAGAAACTAAAACTAGTTGCCCAGATTTTTGCCTGTCCGCTCGAGCGGGGGTTTGGGAGCTCGAGCGGAGAATACACCGATCCAGTATTTCCTGTGTAGTGTTGGAAGCTCGAGCGTGGGATTGATCGCTCGAGCGGGAGTGTTGTGTGTGACGCTCGAGCGGGGGAGTTGGCGCTCGAGCGGAGACCTGATTCTGTAAAAGTGCTGGGAGTGTGTATCCGGCGCTCGAGCTGGAGTTTGGTCGCTCGAGCGGAAGTCTGTGAGTGACGCTCGAGCGGGGGTTTTGACGCTCGAGCGGAGAGACTTTTATATAGATCCGAAATCTGACTTTTGGATCACTTTTTCAAGATCTTTTCTCTCTCTTATCAGAGTTTTGGTATAGTTTTTTGACTTGTCAAATATTCTTAGATTTATGGTTCAAATCCCATAAACTATATAAAGAAAAATCTTTTTTTTTTCTTCTTCTTGTCTTTTCTGGTTTGTTTTGGTCCAACATTTTGAACATGCTACACTCTAGGCTGTGCGCAGAGTGTAGCGACTAGCGAGACATATCCTGTTTGGCTGTAGAATTGTTACATAGCAAAACTAAACTGGTTGATTGACTGGGGTGTTACCATAGGCAACAACAATTCTGTTGTGCCGCAGTTGAAAGTTGCTCCGGAAAATGGGAAATAGCAGGAGGGGGATACAAAAGAATTACTATACTGTTCTTGTCATACATAATGTTTCATTTTTTAGTTGATGACATGATAGAGAGTCGTTTAATACTTTGCTGAATTGCAAGGGATGGCCTGGTGGACAAAGTGTTCCCTCTCCAAGTGTGATTGCTAGGTTTGAGTATTATTGCTATGCAATGCAACTTTTCCTTTCCCTATTAACCTCTGCTATGGATTGTAAGAAACAAAAAACATCAAATACAGTACTTTGCAGGAGCAGATAGTGATAGTTGATAGTTGTGGTTTATCAAAATCTGTGGATGGAATGGAGATGCATCAGCTATTCGATAAGGAAATGTGTTGTAATTCTTTTCTCAGATTGCTTGTTAAGAATGTCTATAGCTTGATGATCAAGTCTATTAGAATTAGTGGAAGATTGACCTTGGCTCAACAACACTTCAATCATCTGTTGTGTGTCCTGCAGCCCTTGGATGAGTTGCTTGGGCTTTAGTGTCCATGTTTTCTGCTAGTGCTGCAACTGTGTTTTCTACTGGTGCTTTGGCTGTGGTTGCAGCTGTGTTGTGTTTTCATGAAATTTTCAATGACATTTTATTCATGTTATTTGTTCTTATCCAATGCAGGTTCAAATATCAAAGAAAGGAAAGAAGAAGAAGTAGAGAGGACAAACTCAATGAAAAAAGGCCTCTTTTTGGTTGTAAGTTTGATTATCTGTCTGCTTGGCTATTTATTTATTGATATTGATACTAATATGTTATGCTAGAATTATGGTTTAAAAGTAGCATCAGTACTAGTCATGGAGTCTTGTAAAAAATAGTGCACAAGCTATAGGTTCCATAAATTGGTGGTCCTGTTATTGACTAATGCCTCAACTGCATGCTTCCATGGTTTAAGGTCAGATGTTATTACAGATTAGTTGCATGCTTCCATGTTTATATGTTTTTTGCACTAACTATTGCTTCACCTATCAAAAATTTATATTGTTTCAGAATGAAAGATACATTTATAATGTTCCAGCATGCATCTCATTATTGGTCTTATAGTTGTCTTATAATAGTTCCAACTTGTTAAGCATATGCTGATTGGCCCATTATGGAATGGGCCAATGAGGGTTTTTGGTTTTTCGTATTTGTTTTGAATCGTTGTGTTTTTTCAGTGCCACTGTTCTGTCAAAGGTGGGATACTCATGATCATGTCATTGGCAAGATGAAACCAAATTATTGATGATGGGATTGATGGAGTTGGATGATGGTTTTGATGAAGATGTATTTTGATGATACTTTATGTATGAATGATTGAGAGAATTTTTTGCGTAGAGGAGTTAGTTGAGTACTTTTATGCACTATTTCCCCATCTCCATATAATGTTATATGATGTGTTGATTACAAGATATATGTAAAAATTGTGATTAGCTTGATGCATGTTAGCAAGAGCTGAATTAGCTTGATGCCTCTTCTTCGGGCTTTAAGGCTTCAAGGGCAGTAAGGGATGTTGATATTAAATGTGTTGATAAATTTGACCCATATGTGTTCTTATACAAATTTTCAATTAATTGTCCAGCTATGCTCAGAATCAGGAAGAGAGAGAGAGAGAGAGAAGAGAGGGGGGGGGGATGGCATTTTTTTTAAAAATGCCACCAAATGATGTCACTTGTGAGTCTATTCAGAAAAAAGAAAGGTGGCATTTTTTGAGAAAACACCACTAAATGACGTCATCATGATGTCATACGTTAATTATGATTGAAATTTAAACTGGCATCAAAGATTTTGCAGTGTTTTTAAAAACGTCGCCACCAATTTTATTTTGCAACGTTTTTTTAAACGTTGTGAAGCTATCACGGCGACCACATCAACGACGAAAATATTAAACGTCGTAAAATTCAATTGTGACGTTTTTCAGGCCTGCAGTGACACTTAGCACTTTAAGCAGATTATATTCCTAATAAACCTTGCTTAGGCTTCTAAATCAATTAAGTTGATAACCAAAACAATTATAATCCAACCTTGGACAATTAGATCCTTTTATACCTAGACTTTTTCTATAAATAGCCTAATACGCTCTTCTTTTAGAACACTTTCGCTGGCCTAGGAAGTGAACAAGAGAGCTTGAGAAGTTTCAGAAAAAGCTAAGGAGGGAGAAGAAAAGGAAGGAAAATCAAAGAAAGAGTTGGCTACTAGAGTGAGACATCATATCCTCTTCTCTTCTCTACCATTTCTCACCTATACCTTCCACTTCTATGTAACAATATGTATATAATATATATGATATTATGTGTTGGTATGATAGTTTGATCATGTATAGTATAAAGATTGTGTTTAGAGCTTGTTTCTTTTTTTTTTTAATCAGTAAGTTGGTTTTAAGGCTTTGAATTTATTTTTGTATCAAACTTCCATGAACTGAAATTCTGTTTAAATTAGGTATTATTTGCAGTATATAAAGCATGTGTAAATTTTTATAGAGCCCAAATGTGTATCTTTATAGCCCAACCAACTTTTACTAGTTTTTGGCCAAAAGTTTTAGAAAACAACCCTCTTGTTCCATTTTTATAAACTTCTAGAAAAATCTCCATGAGTTTATTCTTATGTCAAAATTTTCCATTGCATGTCATCTTTATACTAGAATTTATTTGAGCAAAAAATGATTGAGCAGATTGTGATAAAAATCTTTTTTCCCAACGGTCGTCAAATTTGAACAGAGTGTAGTAATTTCTCAAATTCTTGAGTTCTGGAAATGATTTTCTGGTTTTGAAAACTGAAAATGAAACTAGACTTATAACTCATAAAAAAATCAGCCCAACAGAGTCTTAGAAGTTTGGTTTTTGAATTTCTTGTCATACTAAGGTGAATTTGAAAATCTAAAACTAATAGTTAATGTGCTCTCTCTTGTGGAATATCATTACCATGCTTTGTTTCTTATTAGTTTTGGCATTGGAATATCATATATGCTTTTTTAGTTTCTTTGTTTGATCTTGTCTTAGTTATCTTTCATTTAGCATAGTTGTGATTCTTTGTTGTTGTAACTGAATTCATAATAAATTTAAGAAAAAAGAAACTAATTGGGATGGTAATGGGTTTGCGATCACTTGACACAAATTGGAAAGATAATTAAAGTTGATGTTTTGGAAATGAATGTTGGTGGGATGTGTTCCCTTTAAGTGTTGTACAAGTGGTTATAGCGTAATCCTAGGACGGAATGAGTGTATTCGGACTCTACGTGGTGGTTTATTTTGGAGGGATAAAGTTGGATCTAGTCGGGGACATTAGGGTGTTTACCCTTGTTTTTACTATCCCTTTTGAGGTCCTTGGTTGGCACTACTTGGTAGATAATCGGCATAGGCATCCGTGGTAAGGTTTGTAAAGCAGCAAAAGGAGAAGTACCAAATAATCTGAATCTAATCCTTGTGGTTGGGAGGAAGAATCTCTTTGGAAAATTCTAGATTGTCTCGTTAACTACTTACTTAATGAACCTTATTATGTTGTTATCATGTATCCATGCATTTTCATTTGTTCATACTTGTTCTTTGATTGTTTGTTTGGTTTGGGAAAAGTTGGGGTGTGTATATTTTTTACTGGGCCTTGCAGCTCAGGACTTTTATTGTCCTGGCATTCAATGCTAGGTTCTGAAGAATTTCACTAGTGAAGAAGAGTTTGCGGAGGGGCTCGGGCAACTGTGGCGGGCATTGATAGATGTCAGATTTTCATTCTCACTATTGCAATTTTATTTTTTCTTGTAGTTTGTAAAATTAGGGCAATGTTGTCTGTAATATATTAAATTCTGATGTAGTATTATTTATCTTTGGATGTGAATCCTTAGCAAAACCTTGTATTTATTTGTAATTATATCCTCTGATGTCCCCAATTTTGGGGGGTCACATCAGCGATCCCTAACCGCAACCGCTTTGCCCCATCGCTGTCGTCGCTGCCATCACTGGCAGCCCCCCGTGACTCTAAACCCCTCACTGTCCTCTGCAACTCTGAACCTCCCCACCATCCCTCTGCAGATCCGAGTCATCAACCATCTTTTCTCTCATCGTTGGTTTGAATGACATGAAGGATGAGGAAAAAGTGGAGAGCAGATCGAAGAAGTAAGAAGAAAAAGGATATCGGTGTTCACAGATCATATTGGTCCTGTTTTTAGAGTAAACTAGGAATCAAACTAGTTCTTATTGTTCTAAAATAATTGGAACAGTCACTAAATCGATAAAATTGTGGAATCAAACTAGAACCGAACTATAGAAATCGGTTTGGTTGAATTCTAGGGTTCTTCAAATCTTATATATAACAACAAATATGATATATATATTATGTCAGTAAATAAACTAAAAATAATTAGTTCGGTTAAGTTGATTAGAGTTTATAATTTTGAGTATTCAAATCTTATGAGAAATTGTTATATTTTTATTTAGATATATAAAATTATAAAAAAATAAACAAATATATCATGGTGGTTTGAAACCATAACCAAAGGCCTGGAGTTTGGAATCGGACCAATTTGAACAGTTCTACTACTTTGGGAAGCACAACTAGCATCGAAACTAATAAAAATCAGGCCTAATTGGTGATTTGGACCTGATTGGATCGGTTTATCGATATCACCAATTTTTTGAACCACTCCTAAAGAAAGAGGGGAGTCAACCAGGGGAGGAAGAGGTGAAGAAAGGAAGAATTGGAGGAGCTGGCTAGAGATGGCTCCGAAGGTAGAGGAATGTTGGAACACTGGTTTTTTTATTTTATTTTAATTTTTTATATATATGAGCTTTAAGCAAAATGACAATGTTTAGATAAAAACAAATGTCATTTTGATCTAATTTAAGGAATACTTCATAATCCTCTTCCCCCATACGATCCAAATACCACTATATAACCACTGACATATCATTGTTGCCACTATCCCAGCACACATCCCTACTTTCACTACTGTCACCACACTAAATTACCTACCTATCTCCATCCACACCACCATTATAACAATCATTAATACTATTATTTTTAAAGTTGCAATCAAACAAATATATATATATATATATATATTGACAAAGTTATTTTTTATCAATAAATTTTTTGGAAAAATTATATATAAAAAAAAAAAACCCTCCAAGGTTTGAGCCTTGTAACAATAAATTTTGAATTTTTTATTTTGTCAATTTAAAAACTTTTGATTTCTTTTCAATCTAAACATTTGCTTATTTTTGTTAAGTAAAATCCAAAAAAAAAAAAGAAGAAGGGTATTTTAGTCATTAAACTCAATGAAAAAGATATTTTAGACATTGTATGTATACTTACATTGAATTTAATGACTAAAATACCCTTATTTTGTACTAAAATTGGGAGAACCACTTATTGATTTTTTTGGATTTTGATTTTCTAGTATTTTTTTTAAATCCAAATGGGGGTACTTCCTTATTTACATTGTAAACTTAAGTAAATAAAATATAAATCTAAGAGACTAAATGAAAGCATTTACTTAAATGATTGTATATGAAAATAAGGTTGTTGTGCATGAACTGCCTTAGGATTTTGAACAAGATTTTTCCCAGGTTTGTGAAAATAAGGTTACTTACCTGTGCTTGCTATATGCATAAATTCTGATAGTCAATCAGCAAGAGGCAAAGTACAGAGTCATATGTATGACGGTAAATCACGACACATTCGTCGTCGATATAATATCGTGAGACAATTGCTCTCTAATGGAATCATTTCCATTGAATATGTAAAGTCCAACGACAACATAACAAATCCACTAACCAAAGGGTTAGCAAGAGAGTCAGTTAAGAATTCAACAAGGGGAATGAGACTTAAGCCTATTAATTAAGAGTTACCACAATGGTAACCTAACCTAGTTGACTGGAGATCCCAAGATCTAGATTCAAATAGACAACCGAGTTGTGTGTGATTCATAAGGATCACTGGGGAGTTAAACTCCTACCCATTTCTATAATGAAATATTGATGTCTACATCATCTTAGGGTAAGCAATACTTTTAATGATTCTTATATCTAGAAATACCTAGTGAAGTATGGCAGGATACCTTTCATAAGAATCACTTATATGAGTGTGAACTGGGCCGGTTCTATGAGAATTGTTGTGGCTAAAAATCTCTAGAGCACTCATGAAGTATCAGGTTATTCAGGGCCAAATTAACACAATTGTGAGAACCAAATTGTGTCTAGAAATATGTTGTTTGAGTTCTATTGTCTTGGTTTACACAAACGGCTGAACAATTCAAGACAACATGTTCACTGATTAGTCAGTAAATTAGATAGTGTCTCACAAGGGAAGGTTCAAAGGCAAAAGCTACTTATCCTATGTAGAATATCTCCGATTTCTATACTCTCTTTAGAATCATCATATTGTTGCATTTCTTTTTGTTAATTCCATTCATGTGGGGGATTGTAGGAAATTTGGTTTTTAAAAGCTTAGTTTGGGCCAATTTTAATCCCAAATTCAAGCGGGACCCACACATCTTTTGAGGTAGGTCCGATTGGTGACGTATTTCTTACCGCATGATAAGTCACACCTCGAAGTCGGTTTGTCAAAACCACTTATGAGTGAATAAGAAGCTGACGTCATTTTTTGCTTCAAGAAGTTGGAAGTTGAAAAGACAACGTGGGTTGATCTAATTATGTTGTCCCACATTGGAACAGGGAGGGAGTTTAT